AATCTGATATACTCAAAAAACAAAACAGCAACAACAACAACATGAAATCATAATTTTAAATTAAAAACATAAACAAAATTACTTAAACTGTTCCCTCGAATTTGTCACCTTCATTTTAATTTTAATTAAACTAAATTATTTTATGCTTATTTAAAATTTATTTTCTTAATTAATGAATAATTTTTTTCAGGAGTTTTGTGGAGATTTTAGTAATTTCATTGATTGAAATCATGAGTCAATTGAAGCTAGACCATCATGGAAAACCTGGAAGCACTGAACGGCCCTTTCGTCCTAGTATGGCACTATTCAGCAGTATACATCCACGATCCCGCCCCCCTCCCGCGAGATTCAAACCCAGGACCTATCAGTCCTATTAGTCTCATACTAGAACGAAACGGCCGTCCATTGCTTCCAGGCTTTCCATGGTGATCTAGCTTCAATTGACTCATGATTTCAATCAGTGGAATATTTTTATTCTTAATAAAAAGAAAAAATTATTGATTGCTGTTTTTTGCTGTTGTTGTTATGTTTACTAATTTGATTGGATGAATATTTTTGTTAAGAGATTTAAATGTAGATTTTTATCACGAACAGTTAATAAACAAATCTTTTTCGACAAAAGCAACATAACAACAGCAACAACCAAGAAGCATAGTGAGCAGTTATTTTGTCTTATTTAGAACTTTGTATTACTGTTTTGTTCTTTACCCCAAAAACTAGTCTAGTTATCAATAATAACTATACTGAAAGTAGTAATAGTGGTGCGGCTATAATTTATGGATGACCTTACAGCGACGCTAGAATGAACTTGAGAGTGTGCAACTAATAACTAGGACCAAATGTGGATTATAAACCAGTGTGAGGAATTATAATTATGATTTACAGTTGATGGTTAGGGTTATAAATTAGATTTAGGGTTTTCATCACGAACAAACATTAGCTGTAATGCCAAAACTCTATTTAGCCAAATGGATGAGTGAATTTCGCCCAAAATCCGAGACCTGTTATCTTATACGTGATTGGTTCGTTCAGAAATTTTAGTCTCGCCGTAATAATAATAATAATAACAGTAATGGCAACAATAAGGATATGATAAATAGGTTGTGATTAACAATAGGATACAGGATCGGTGTTTTGTTCAACTTGGAACTCATCAATTAGGTGTACTTTCTTTCTAGTGGTAATGTTTGCATTGACATGTAAACTTGATACAGTTGACTTTTAAAAATGACGTGTAATCCATTTGGCTAATAAGTCCTGATAGCCACTTACTTGTGTAATGGTACTGGGTTCGAGTTATTGAGTAAACATCAACTCTGGAATGCAAGCACAACCAGCTGATGAGTCCCAATTAGGACGAAACACGCGTTCTGGATTCCACTGCTAGCCATCATTCATCTTTGCTTATAAAATATAGTTGGTTAAAAACTTGCGAATTTTTCGGTAAAGTACAATAATAACACTGACGTATTATTCACCTAGCTACTGAGTTCAAATAGCTATTCACGTATGTAATGTGAATGGTATTTCTATTAATTTTTTAAGTAAGACTATGAACTAACTCGTTATTCATATTCATGATATAATTTCGATTAGTCTTTTTCAGCAATAGCCATTATATCAGTGGACAGATGAACTGTGTCTAGGTTCCACTGGTAGCCACGATTCATCTGTTTGATAAATATTTGTCAAACTAACTGTACCGTGGTAATTCGTAGAGGAAGCTGATTAAAAATGAATAATTCAAATCTTTACTAATTATGAAATACTATTAATAATAATAATGATAATAACAAAAACAAAAGATATGTCTAGTAAGTTTTAATCATTTCAAAAAGACGCAGTTGAGATATGTGATTTTAATTGTTAATACTATTGTACTGTATGCTACTTCTGTTGACGCCCTCAAATGCCTTGGTGCGGCCGAGAGTGGGGAGAGTCCGCTCTCCCTCTCGAAACACGCGTACATAGCCTCTGCCAGGGAAGTCCTACTCACTGCCTTCTCGTGGCGGGGGTGTTGTTTACGAAATTGAGAGGACGAAAAGCGAATGTCCAGCGCTTTAACCGGGTTGGTGGACATGAAGAGTCGACCTAGGGAAGTTGGAAAAAACTGATTCCAAACCAATGGTGCATATCAGCTCCAGAATCCTGAAGGAACAAATGGCGTATGAACCAATCGTTGGTCACCGGCTCCATGGGACTGCATCTCCTTACGATGCTCCACTGCCTTGTGGATCAGACTTTTAGATAAAGGCTCTGTGTGTGGCCCAATAAAGAAACCACCTGCTTCGGTTTAGGCACCCCAGCGGTATCACAGCCCTCACACAAATCCAATGAGATTTGTGTTGCGCATATGTACTTGGTGCCTCCTTGTACCAATATCTATGTGTTAAAATATAAAATAAATAATTCTGTTGACGGATATAAGTGGTATGTAATACCACTCAGAAGTGGAATGTATGTCTGCAGAAGATTGATAAGATCAAATGGAATAGAACAAGAATGTAAACGGATAGTAATTATAATAACAACAGGATTGAAAGAAACATGAATCATGTAAAGGACAACAGAAGGAATATGTACAAATGATGTATAGTTTCATATTTTACGAAGGTGTTCTATAATTTTGCATTAAACAATAATTTAGTCTTTTCCAATTGAGTTCTCGTTCACTACATTGAGAATTACAGTTACCTGAAATACTGCTTTGCTATGTAAATGGATACTAACAGTTGAGATTATCATCCGGTATACTTAGTCAATGTAATGAAATAGAGAACTTCCATCAACATGTTTTTATTGTGATTCTGACAGTTACTGAAAAATCAGGCATGAATCGCTGTTTACATTGTTTATTTAAGTTATGCATTACAAGTATTCTTTAGAATCATACTATAAATACAGAGTTTGTAACACTCCGTGTTCCTAATTAGACAATCACTAAAAACCAGTAAGTACTGGATAGATATAAGGAGCTCTTTAGCAGTACACATTCATAACCCCACAATAAACTTTTGAGTTTCACTGCAATCACTTAAACTTTAAACGAATAAGCCGTCAATCAACTAGTGTATATTTATAAATACTATAAATGTTAGGTTCTATTCTATTTATCACACAGTTTTAGTCTTATGGGCATTTCTACTTACGGAGCTGAAACTTGGAGAACTACAACAACCATCATCAAGAAGGTGCAAGTATTTATAAATAGCTGTCTGCGCAAGATACTCAACAACCATTGGCCGCATACCATCAACAACAGCCTTCTGTGGGAGAGAACAAACCAGCTTCCAGTTGAAGAGGAAATTAGTAAAGAACGATGGAAAAGGATAGGACATATATTACGCAAATCATTAAACTACATCACGAGACAAGCCCTAACTTGGAATCCTGAAGGGAAGCAGAAAAGAGGAAGGCCAAAGAACACATTACGTCGGGAAATAGAAGTAGATATGAAAGGGATGAATAACAACTGGAAGGAGCTGGAAAGGATTGCTTGGGACAGGGTTGGATGGAGAATGCTGGTGAGCGGCCTATGCTCCTTCACGAGGAGTAACAGGCATAAGTAAGTAAGTTTATTCTTATGAGTAAATGAGATTATGAACTCAAATATAGTTAGTTGAAAATCTACGAAATTTCCAGTCAAGTAAAAATGATCTTTCAAATGAACATTCTCGTACTTATATTGGTTTAGAAATGTTGTTTATTGGATGAAATTTGATAGATGTTGCTAACTCTACGAAGGCCTTATGTATGATTAGTGTCCAAATATAACTTCTTGACCATTAGACTGCGTACTTATGAATAACACCTAACGAAAGCTTTTTCATTTTTTGTCAGTAATAGGTCTTGGTGTAGTAGCTAAATAATTTTATGTTATTTGTGAAATCTCGATATCTTAATCATGTCTAATCATTTTAGGTGTAAGGAAACATTGATATCATCCATATCTAGAGCGAGATAGTTGCTCATCAGTGACATTAAAGTACAGTTACTTGAAGTCAGAAATATAAAGCAATGGATACCAAATAGACAGTCTAATAATTGAGGATTCGCTCAAGACTTATGGGTCCTAGGTTCATTCTCTTATAGAGTCATGGATGTACACTGCTTACTAGTCCTATACTATTGTAGTGAACAGAACACGGGGGGGCCAATCGAATTACATTTACCACAAAATTACAGAGTTACTTGGTAAAATAAAAAAACCATACTATAATACTTAATTTGCAAAATGTTCGGTAATTGTCTCGAACTTCATTGTTTTTGCATTTTCATACTAATTGCTTTCCATTCCCGCTCTTCCTTTCTTGATCTTCCCCATCTTCTGCTTCCAAGCACTACATTCCGACTCACATCATAAACTACTTATATCAATGCAAGTAGTGCGCACCACACTATGACAGATCAAATTTCCATGTCACCCAAGTTTTCTTTAGTTGTTTATTTAGAATCAAGTCAGTGATCTGAACCACAACATTCAATGCTCTTCATAAATCCCTTATATAATAATTTTACAAAACTATCCCGAAAATTTGTAACCATTTACAAGTAAGTGAATAGTTTCCATATATATATATATATATAGGAAGACAACGACTCAACGGAATTTAGGACCTCCAAAAGGAATAAAATATCAAAACTCCTCCTTTTTTAAAAAATTAAATTCTATATATAAACAGAAAAGTAAAATTTCACAATTATTTACTGTAATATGTTTCTTTTTAAGTAGTATATGAATACAGATATGAATTTCTCAAGGCACCTATTCACTAATTTTCATTTTGAATATATAACTGTGCCAAATTACTGTCATGGTTTGTTATTTCCCCATGAACAAATATAATAATGATGATTACCTAGATAGTATAGACAAGTATACATTCATCAACATAACATTTCTCAAAATGAATTCACTCATTTCAAATTAATGTAAAACTCATATTATACACATGAATTAAACATATCTTGTATAGTTGTTAAAGAATTTGTTGAATAATCTAAATGATGCATATATTCATTATGTTGATCATTTTTTCATTCATATCATTAAACAATGGACAATGATTATTTGTACAATATAATAAATCACTACTACTTATAATTGAATGAGTAGTATGAATTGGATCTGTATTACATGTAGTTATCATAGAACAATCATTTAATGAATGGGGTATAATTTCATGAATAGGAGGTGTTGGACTATTTCTTAAATTGATTAATTGACATTGTGTACATATTTCTGATTCATAATTACTCATATAATCACAGCATGAAACATTTGATGTTTCTTTTAAATAATGATCATGATTATGAATAGTTCTTCTTTCTTGATTGACATGATCAATAGTAGAATCATCATTATTATTCCGGTAGTAGTTTGATTTCCTGTATGAAATAATAATCCTAAATCTGTACATTTTGATGAATTAGGTAGCTTATTCATAGTTGGTAATGTACAATGACATTGTTTCTCTTTTGAAAACATTGTATAATCATCATTTCTATTATTTCCTAATAATGAATTTATATTACAATTTGATTGTATTGCCAACTTTCTTGTACATGGTGGTGTTAAAAATCGATGTGAGAATGGTGGCAGAGGAGGAGGATGAGGAGGATGAGGAGGCAATTGATTTTGTTTATAAAGAAAATTTCTTTTATTATATATAGATAATTGTGGATTTATAGGTTGACTAGTTGGTGAATTATGTTTTGTATCATTTAAATGTAGATCATCTATTGTGACACCGGTAGTATAAGCTAAAATATTTGGATGTGATTTAAATTGATAAAGATGTTGGCGATCACAGATTTCATAGTTACCAGATGATGATTTTAGTATAGAACTATTCATAAGGTGTTCATTATTATTACTATCTAGTGTCTTTTTCAAAGGATAATTGTCAAAACATGGCATAGATGGTATGAAACTGACATTTTTCGGTATTCGTTTGATAGGACTGGATTTTTCATGAAGATCTATACATAGAAGGAAGAGAATTCTTTTAATTTTACAAATTGTTAGCTGGACATAGACTGGATTAAAGCATGCTCAATGCACGATCGCTTTGGTGCACGCTGATTGGCTAATTCTTATCTAATCAGCATTAGTCAATACTTAATGAACACTCTAGAATCTTCTCATGTGAAAACTAGAAATATACTAACGTTTTCCCTATTGTGCTTCTTACTTGCTTCTTACTTCCATCTAACTTTGTTATTTGCAATATAATCTCTTTCCTGTTCAACCGTGTTCTGATTTGGGGACTTGTCGAGTGAATCGGTGTTCGAGAATAATAAGCAATAGGAATAGCTGGGTCATAACCGTAAGAAAGAGATTATAACACAAATGAAACGTTTAACATTGATTAGTGATATAACATTGATTGGCTATGCATAAATTCAGTATACTGATATCCTAATTCAGTGACTTGATATGATAATAATTATTGGCCTGCCTAAAGTTCGTCATTTCTAAAGTTGGGAGTCAGTATCGTAGAAAACGCAACTGACATATCCTCCATACTCAATATTTTACACTTCTTACTCAAGAATTACTTATCGGGTATATCGAAAAATTTTACTTCTAAAAAACACCAGATTTTCGAGGTAATTTATGGGAAGTGTGTATATTGTGAGTTCAAACCCGGCTAGTTATCATGTGATTTATTCGTCAGCCGAAATACGACTTACTCAATCTTAGTACTGTGGTAAACCAATGACATTCGACCTGTATGAACAACCTAGCATCCTTATTGGTCCTTTATTCTCCTAGTAGTTCAAGTTGAGTTCAAAACACCAAAAGCAGTTATACAATGCGAATATATATAGAATATTGGTCCATTATTATTTCTCGGAAGTTACTCGTAATTTAATCTTCACTAGGATATAACAGTATAGTTTACTGATAAATCCGGTCTTGAACTATAAATCAATCAGTTGGTAAATGTACATTTTGTTCATAATTTGTACCATTGATATGTATAAGTTACTACATTCTTACATCCATATTTTGTGACAGCTGACAAGTGAATGCTTAATACATCGTAGTTTTGTGTTCATGAATATATGACAGTTTGTCATATATATATATATTAGTCACTCTAGTCAGGTTTAAATCGGAACTCGCCGATTAATGTATTTTTAAGTACTTCATGAATTTTCTCTTTATTTCATCGTTTATTCAGTTTATAGTTGAAATCATGAGTTAATTGAAGCTAGACCATCATGGAAAACCTGAAAGCACTGGACGGCCCTTTCGTCCTAGTATGGACTCCTCAGTAATGTGTATTTACGACCCGACCCCCACGAGATTCGAACCCAGGAACTATCAGTCCTATTACTCTCATACTAGAACGAAACGGCCGTCTAGTGCCTCTAGGTTTCCCATGGTGAGCTAGCTTCAATCGACTCATGATTTAAACTATTGAAATTTCTAAAAATCTCCACAAAACCCCTTCTGATAATATTCAGTTTATGTTTTGTACTTCCCAGTCTTCAAAAATGATTGACATACATAGATTTTACATTAAAGTTGTTACATATATTATTGAATAACATATACTTGATGAGACTAATTAAATTGTTTACACCTAAACAACTAATAATCCAGTTCATAAAATCAAACAACTTTATATCTAAAAGTCACACCATAGACGTTACCCTAACGTTCTAATCATCTTGATGTATTCGGGTTACAATAACTGAATACTTGTTTCTGTAAAATGTATTGTATTAGACAGATGAGATTGGTGAAAATTAAGAGTTAAAATAACGATTTACGATTTGAGCGCCAAATCCTACTTATGATTTCATAGAGATATGATGGCGGTAAGGTATTTGCAACGGATAACTAGCACTTGAAACAACGATGCTTTCACACAGTCGAAGGAAGAGGTTAGACAATGTCAACATTCAAAACTGCAAGCTTTTATTTGGTTTAGAAGTTTTCATCACCTGCGGTGATGTTTTTAAAATATAGGACTAATATATCCATAACTACTCATAAAAAAACGTTTGTGATTAATCTCAAGATGAGGTCTGAGATAACGCTCTCAGTCTGCTATGGCCACTGGTAGTCTCGTTTTTGTTACAAGTACCTTAAGTAGGAGGGTCCTCTGACAATAATGACAATGGGAAGCGATAACTACCAACATACCATTAAAATCAATCAATTATGTTCAATATAAAATTTCACTACAAAACCGTTCGGCTACAAATTAACATGTTTGTACATATATATACATGCAAATAAATTCATAGGAATGAAAAATTGTAAACTATACGAATAGGGAAATCTCACTTTGTGTCCTGTGTGCAATCTGAGAAGCATTATTATTATTGTTATTGTTATTACTAATATTCAATAGGGATCTGGATGATGGCCTACCTAGAGGAGGTTTTTCATAACCACATTTATTTATCTGTAAAAGAAAAAGAAAAGAGAGACAAGTTGTTCTATAAATAAGCAAACCAATGAAATGAATAAATACTTTTGATATTGTTTACTTGAATCTTCCCATTGTGTTTAGGACTGCAATTGATCAGTCTCTTATTGGCATATATGCATACTGTGCGTAATGTCTCGATATAGCCTTCATTTACAAGCATTATATACAAAGATGGATAGTGGTAGGTACATCCAACTGACTAGTCCCAAATAGGACGAAACGCGAGTTCTGGATTCCACAGCTAGCTACTATCCATCTTTGCATATAATGAAATAAATTGTTTAAAATGATTAAATAATATCCAAGCCAATATGAACGAAATATTATCTTTCCAATAATTTCTCATCAGTTTCTATGGTTACAAATCTAAATAAACGATCCGAAAGTAATGACCAGATTGAAATCAAATAAATGATTTTAGCATCATTTCATATGAATTCAGGATTGCTTGTAAAATAATTGTTTTTAGTTTAACTGAAATTCCGGAAGCAGTTTTATTGTGAGACTCCTCAACAGTAGGTATCCACGATCTCCCACGCGGGACCAGAACCCAGGACTTTCTGTCTCGCACAAACACTTAACCTGTCAATCACTGAGCCGGGAAAATATTTTGCAAATACTGTAATTAACCTTACAATTTAAAACTTCAATATTTGAGATCATGAGTCAATTAAAGCTAGGTTACCATGAAAAAACTAGAACCATTGGACGGCCGTTTCATCCTATTTATAGGACTCCGCAGCATGGTGCATTCATGATCCCTCATAAGAGGCTCGAACCCAAGACCTATTGGTATCGCGTGCGAACGCTTAACCTTTAAACCGCTGAGCCAGCATTCAGTGGTGTTAATGTCTAACTTCAACTAATCCACGAAATTGAGCAACACATCCACCATTGTCACCAGTGAGTTACTATCACAACAGATATTTAAAACTTGTTTAAAATTTTAAATGTTGGCTGTATATGTGATCACACACTATCATAAGAAAATTACAAACTATTAGAATATTAGATACTGGTAGACTCAAACAGAAACACTGAAGTTATCCTTTGATAAGACAAGTGATGAATATGTTCAAACTAAAGCATTTTATATATGATCGACAGAAAAATAGTTGAATTGGCTGAAATTGTGAGAAAAAAACTTTACAAGCAGAAGATACTGACTGTTAAAAACATTTGCTGAACGTATTTTCAATAATTACGAATCGGATACATTTTAATGGGTATTTATTGTTATATTGCACCAGTGGTACTGAGAATTCCATACTGGCACGGAATAAAGCCATTATTATTGTTATTATTACTATTATTATGTTGATGACGATGTATTAGATGGTGGTTGGAGGTAGTTGACAGAAAACCCTGGACCCGAGTTTCGCGCTAATTAACACTGGTCAGCAAGGTATACCTGTAATCTTGAAGGAGCTGGTGCTCCCTGACGGATTCGATACCGTGTCACCTAGCTTCACTAACAAGGACTTGACATACATGACATTGATCACAACACAGTGATCAATCAATTGTGATTACATCACAGTCCTACAGGAGGTTGGTCGCGGCTCGGATAGCTCAGTGGTAATGTCTCTGACTGTGAAGCTGGGTGACACGGGATCAAATCCGTCAGGAGCATCAGTTCCCTCAAGATTACAGGTACACCTTGCTGACGAGTACCAAGTAGCATGAAACTCGGGTCCAGGGTTTCCTGTCGACTACCTCCAACCACCATCTAATCTCAATATATAGTGCACGCAGTGTCGAGTCACCTAGACTGGTGGCCACATTGCAACATGGTTGATAGCATTCGATCTGCACTAAATAAGGACTTGACACACATGGCATTGATCACCACCCAGTGGTCAGTGAATTGTGATGACAATGTTTTCACGAAAGACTAGTATTTTATTAATTGAGAAATATGAGATATAAGAATTGTAATAAGGATAATGTTTCTGTTCATTCAATATTATCTTATAATGAAAATTGGATTCGTATTGTGGATAATATTCATGAATCCCTTAAATAGACAATCACCACAAACAACCCGGTAAAAATAACATTTACGTACCACAAATTAGATATATAATTAAGTAAGTACAGAAGACTAGACATTTTTTGAGTGACATTTCTGATCTTGTTCACGATGTTTAATATAGATGTAGGTCAGTTGATTGGAGCTAGTCAACAGACAACACTATATTAGTCTTGACTGAGTGAAAGTTGGCACTCTTTAATTAGGCTTACCTACAATCTTGAAGAAAACGAACACTTTTGTGCTAACTAAATCTGGCCCATGGCATAAATAACTCAATGGTAATGTCACAGACAATAAACCTAGATGACGTAGATTTTAATCCCAAAATAGGCATTAGTTTCATCAAGAAATCAGATTAGCTTTGCTTGAAACCTTGACCTAGAATTTAGCATTGACCATTTCCAACATAGTATACCTGATATCTATTCACTTAGACTAGTGTTTATATTGCTACTTGGTCAGAATTTGATCATTCATAGAAAACTAGGCAAACACGATATTGGTTACTAATCACTGATTAAACCGTTGTAAGACTAAAGAATGTACGAATACAATTTCCTTGTAAATGCTAACAATAATCAATATATATTCTTTTAAGATTGAATAAGATGACAATTATGTAACCATTGAGTAAATGGTAACTTACATTTCTAGATAAGATTTTCATTTGAAATATAGAATATGACTTTTTATACAATAATTTATAGCAGTTTCTCATGAAACTGTTAATGAAGTCTGATTACTTTTTTTTGTGCTAAACTAAACACTCCATGGTTATATTGACAAGATAATGAATGATTCATTAAACTGGATAATACTCGTTCATAGATTGTTTTTCCTTAGAGAGTATCCTATTTTATACCTCATAATAATAATGATTATTATTATTATTGTTGTTAGTCTGAAAGTTAAGTTGACTAATATGGAGATAGCATGCATAAATCATTGATCCCTTAGTTACAATAATAATATCGAGTGTTTTCCTTTTTCTTTTATTTTAAAGAGAAGTATATTACAAATTTCTTCCTAGAACGGTTTTATCTTCAAGTTTATTCTGATATATTTCAATTTGTATCAGCATAGGTTTGTGGAGATTATTATGTTATTGATTGAGATCATGAACCGACTGATATTAGAACACTAGTGAAAACCTGAGAGCACTAAACGGTCATTTAGTCCTATTATGGGACTCCTCAACAGTGCACATCCACAATCCCGCTCGTGAGATTTGGACCCAGGACCTTCAGTCACGCAAACAAACGCTTAACCTCTATACCACTGAACCGACATCCGACGGTTTTCAATGGTTGGCTAATATCAATCTGTTCATGATCTCAAACAACAACATAATAATCTCCAAAACCCTATACTGATAATTACCATGTGCTCACTAGTGACTAGCTTCGTGAGGGAATTCTGGGAGTTCTAGTGGGAAGCCTTGACCATTGGAGTTAATCCGTGTCGGTTAGAGACAGGTATCTACCTTAGTACAATGTAAGATGGTCGCGCAATTTCGTGGATTGGTTGAAGTTGGATGCCAACCGGTTCAGTGGTCTAAAGGTTAATTGTTCTCTTGCGTGACTGAAGGCCCTGGGTTCAAATCCCGCGAGCGGGATCGTGGATGCGCACTGTTGAGGAATCCCATAATAGGACAAAGTAGCCTTCCAGTGATCGCAGGTTTTCAATGATGGTCTAACATCAATCGGTTCATGATCTCAATTTCAATTTGTAGTTTTTTTTTGAAAACCGCATTTCTATGATGATAAAAATGAGATTTCTTCATATAGTCACTTTATTTATCTCGTTTTTTATGATTATTGGTAAATCAATATAATAATCTCGAGGAGCGGAATCGTGGATGCGCATTGCTGAAGAATCTCACACTAAGACGAAACGACCGTACACTACTTTCAGGTTTTACATGGTCGTCTAGCTTCAATCGACCGATGAATTCAAGTATTAAATTACTATAGTATCCATAAAACCCTTTACTGATATTTTATATGTGTTCATAATCGGTATGAAATCTCGTAATGAATTCAAATAGGGCTCTTCGTCTTTGTCAGCTTACATCACCTGTTGCATAGGTGACTAAATCAAAACAGAACATCATTTCATGAAATCATTGTGCTTAGTTTATGAATAAGTACTATCTTGTTATGAGCTTAGTAATCATCACAATCAACTGTTGGTGATGTTTTATGGCATGGCTCTGAATTGATCGGAATGATGTAGATCTATTCACATTTTGTCTTATCTTAAATCGTGAGTTGTAGAATTTTCCTCCACATTTATGTACTAAAAATAAATTCTTTCCTCTAGAATCACATTATGAATGATTAATCTTTTCTAATATTTACAGATACTGTCACTTCTTTCATTACCCTGGCATTTATCTTGATAACTTCATCTCACTGTACTGATATAGTTTGGCAACTTGAACTGATGCATATACATAGCAGGTTCCACGTTGTTTATAACTGACCTACTAACCGATATTTTGTAAACTCTACATTAAAACAGATCTCAATAATGAAGAGGATTGTTGAAGTGGATTTACTATTAAAATAAATAACTTAGTCAGTTATTTAGCTAGTTGGCAAGTTTATATTTTTTACTAAAGAAGTATATGAAAAGTCTCAGGTCTTTGTGTACTCGTCCTCTCTCTTAGAACTCAATTTGTTCACTGAAACTCAGATCGTCAACAATAGACAAAATAAAATTGGTACCTTGAACTAATCAGATATAGGCTAAATGATAAATGAGAGATGATGATAAGCGAACACTATTGGTTTAGATTTGGTTATATATTCTAAAGTAATCGACACTCTTTATTGATTGAAAATGTGGCCCAATTTTTTGAGGGATATGTGTCTATATTTCTGAATGAGTTGTGTATGTAATCTGGATATGTCTAGCCCAGAAAATCATCCTGTTC